ATCTTTAGTGATATCGACGTCTTCACCATCCCTTCTTTTTTCGGTCCTTCAACTCCGTCGAATTAACACCACAGGCCAGTAAACCCACTAAAGATGAAGAGACAATGGGTTATGGTGTTGGTTCGCCAGAGTTGAAGGACCAAAAAAAGAAGCATGGTGAAGACGTCAATGTCACTAAAGATGGAAAAGAAATAGAAGTTGATGAGGATGAGAGATAGGATGGTGACCGGTGAGACCCAAATTAAATTTCTCAAATGTGGTTTCAGGTTTACGGTGAGGAGATACAGATATGTAGGGTCTATTAATTTTTTTAAATATACAAAAAATAAATACATAAATAAGAAAATTAATTAAAAAATAAAATTAATAAGGGCACAATAGTCTTTTTAGGTAAGACAGGGACCAAACGTGCAACAAAAATATACAGTAGGGACCATCCGAGTTAAAAAAAAATAAGTTAGGGACCAAAAACACAAATTCCCCCAAACCATAGGGACCATTCGTGTAATTTACTCTTACTTTTCGTTTTGTTCATATTTGGGTAACTACTTTTTTTGTACACATCTAGGTAACGAACTTGTTGAAAGTGTTCACATCTAGGATGTAACCTGCTACACCAGGTCATAATGGTCATATGTGAACACTTCCAACAAGTTCGTTACCCAGATGTGTACAAAAAAAAAGATAGTTACCCAGATGTGAACATACCGAAAAGTTAATTACCTTGATAAGTCATTTTCCCTACATTTTAATGTTTCTAAGTTTCTTTGGCATTTTACTAGTAACTAAATTAAGAAGATAAAAAATACCAATAAGTAAAATAACTATTTTATTCAGTAAAATATCATTATAGCTGGCACAATTTTTAGAGTGCAGCCGCTGTCAATTTATCTTCACAAAGCCGATCGACTATTTGTTATTAATAGTGACAAAAATAAAGGGAAATAAATAAAAAAACGATAAAGAGTACCTACAATATACTCCATCCGGCAGAGAGGAGACCGGAGATGGAGATCGGCAACCGGAAAGTGTGTACGGCGGAGTAATCCGACGAGGTCACGACGGGAGGAGAGGAGAGGGGAGGCTAACACTCCGGCAGCGGCGTTATTTGTCTGGTTAGTTTTGAGATTTTTTAGACAGCGGTTTTTAGACAATCGGCTTCGAGATTTGAAGGGTATAAGTTTTAGAGGGTTACGGTTTTTTCAACTCGAAGCTAAATTGTAAATAGTAAAGTGTAAATTGGAATAGATTTTTAGTTTCTTTATTGAGTTAAGGGTTTCCTGGTTTATTTGTGCCTAATAAAACAAGATTTGTTTTGATTTTTTTTCCAGTGATTTCCGGAAGTTTAGTTGATTCTTTATCTAATTACTAAATTTTAAAAGTTATATTGTATAGAAACAGGAAGCGGAAAAACGAGGGGGGTGGGGGGCAAATTAGTCGTTTCTTAATTATTTCATAACTAAAATATACATACATATCCAAACATTAAGAACCTGAAAACCAGGGGGCCATGGGTAACCATGGCCCCTAAGAGCATCCGCCACTGTTAGAGACGACGCTATTTATGTCGTCGCTAAAGGGTATTAGATGTTTATTTGGGATTTATCAGATAGTTTATGGATGATATATTAGATGTTTATTTGAGATTTATTAGATAGTTTATGTAATATGGTATATTTGATGTTTTATGTAATTTGGTATGTATTCTTATTAAAGCTGCATTTTTTAATATATACAAACTAATATCATAAATAAATTGTTTTTTCCAAAAAAAAAAACAAAAAAAAAAAACAACAATAGCAACGACACCTTTAGGGACGAAATTGACTAATTGCGACGACAACTGATTCCGGAAATAGCAGCCGGAAAAACTCCAACCGGTGACCGGAAAAGTAATAGAGACGACGGCAATAGGGACGACAGTGACCATTTAGCAACGACGAGCATTAGAGACGATGCTATTTTTGTCGTCGCTAAAGGGTACGTTTTTTGTTGCGTTTATACTACAGCTCACAAATATGTATCGGATCCGGTTATGACTTGACCCAAAAAATGAATCTGCGTGCTTCACCTGCAAACTTTCTTTCACAACCCAATACAATTCAAACTTAACACAATTTCCCCTTTTTTCACAATATATCACTGGTAACTCCTAAAAGAAAAAATAATAAATATTAGATTGTATTTAAAAATATTTATTATTTTCAACTGATCGCATAACTTTAAACGAGAATCTAACTTCCAAGGTCCTCTTATCCAAAACTAACTCCCCCTGTTTACTTACCCCGACCATTTTCCAGTTCATCTGCACTTTCAGCTTTCCACTCCTAACAAATACAACCAATATGTTCATAAGTAGAATCAAATTGATATAAAGAGTAACAAATTGAACTAATGAAGCAGCGATAACTAATTAGGTGTCACCTCGAATTTTATTGTGTCGATTGAATGCATAATTGATACCTTCAACTTCTGTCAAAAATGGGGGAAGGTCCAAGATTTCCGTCCAAGATTGGAGGGATTAGGGAGGAAATTGAGGGACGTTAAAAAAAATGCTTTTCTAGTTGTAAGTTATGTTTATAAATTTGTCCAAGATGGTATAACGAAGGAAACCAGATAAATTGATGGAATAATAAAATTTGAAAAGATTTGAAAAGATATGCATTTATTAATTCCAAATTGGCCTTATATAGTGCATTGTTTCTCGTACTCTTGTAGCCAAAGTCAGAGGCTTATTTCCACCGGCGATAAGAAATGGCTTCATTGTCCTTCACAAAAATCTTTATCTTGTTCTTGATTACTTTGCTGTTCTCGATATCAAATGCCGACTTTTCTCCACCATACAAACTCGTTGACAAAGTTTGTAACAAACTAGAAGACACCGATGTCTGCTTTCAGATCCTTGAATCTGATGACAGGAGCAAGTTTGCAGAAAATATAACTATCCTTACAACTATCGCAGTCAATCAGACAATCAGACATGCAAACGCATTACGAAATGAACTCCGTGAATTGAAAACCGGTTCTCCTGGTGAGTTGAAATCTCTCAAATCTTGCAGCCATGCGTATACTCATGTGATCTCGAATATGAAGATTCGTATGTCAGAAGAAAATTGTTCTTTGATTGGTTATCATATTCAAGCTGCAGTGGACAATGTTAAACGTTGTCAAAGGATTGTGGATTCAAATGGGGCACATGGATCCTTTATGACAACAGGCAATAGTGTCACTGTTGATCTTTGTAAGCTTTGTGAATCATTAGCCAACCTTATGTGTAACTGTAAGAGTTAACTAAAATTATAGATGTTTATATTTATGAATAATTATTCAAAATGGTCCTGTAGTCCCCTTGGCAAGTTTTGGGAGTTAATTTTGTTTTCTTTAGCGGAAGCATTAACAAATAATTAGGAAAGAAATTGGCAAGAAAAGAATCACCAAGAATGAATTTCTTATTGTATTGTAATATGCGATACAAACCGAAGTGATAAACACACAAAAAGAAAAAATTACAAAACTCTTACTGTACTTCCCCTAAATTGAAGATAAAAGTCAAGACTATAAACCTATATAAACTTCTGGTCAAATCATTAAAGTATGAGAGGTACAAGTTAACAGGCACCATGTACAGCTGTCTTATGCGGGAAAGATTTATTGAAAAGAGCATGCAATGAGCTTAATATCCTTCAAATCTTTGCATCAATTATGTAACGCATAGAATCAAAATGAGTTTCACATATAAATGTAATTATATTTACAGCTGTTATACCGAAGAGAACTAAATGAAAAGGAAAGAATATTAAGCTCGAAAAGGCACAACTAAAAAATAATTGTAACAAGTAGAGTTGGAATTTGATAGGGATATTGCAATGATCCTTTAGGAAAACCTAAAGAGTTGTTTGCTGGTGAGATTAGTAAGAAAATGTGGAGGTTAGTCCCGAAGTTGGAATAAAGTCTCGTGTGACTGGATGCCGTAAAAACAACATATCAGGCTAAAACTATTTTCATATTCAATATAATAATAATATTTTTTTAAGGCATTCAAGTATGTAAGCATAAAATACAACTAATTGTGAATAAAATAATATTAAATTTTGAATGAGATCTTTTACTCGGTCCCACGTTGTAATCAAAGCCTCATATCTCGATACTCTCCGTCTCCTGTATAATTGACTTCCTCCTACCCTGCTTTCACCATTGTTCGGCACTGGCTCCGTTTCTATGAAATCGCCTCTGGCTCCCTCAATAATTCAATCTCTCCCTTCCTTCTCTCTACAAACCCTAAGCTGCTGCCACCACCACCAAAATCGATCACCACATACCCCACCACCATCACGGCTTACCGCAGTCGCCCACCTCACTACCACTGTCAATATGCTTCATTAATCAATTTTGTTACACATACCCCACCATGTCGATTCTTTTGCTGATTTTGACTGATCGAACCCAACGATAGCTGCTTAAGAGCCAAGACCTAATCGAAAGAGTAATCAAATGTAAATTGAGTGACGATTCAGTTAGGGTTTCACTTGGGCGATTGTTCTTGAAAAAAAATATGAAAAGTCGAGTTTTTCAAAACAAGAGTCATCGATTTCTTGA